ATCTGAAAGAGACACGTGCACCCCAATGTTCATCACAGCACTGTTTATAATAGCCAGGACATGGAAGCAACCTAGATGCCCATCAGCAGATGAATGGATAAGGAAGCAATGGTACATATATATAATGGAATATTACTCAGCCATTAAAAAGAATACATTTGAATCAGTTCTAACGAGGTGGATGAAACTGGAGCCCATTATACAGAATGAAGTAAGCCGGAAAGAAAAACACCAATACAGTATACTAATGCATATATATGGAATTTAGAAAGATGGTAACAATAACCCTATATGCAAGACAGAAAAAGAGACACAGATGTATAGAACAGACTTTTGGAGTCTGTGGGAGAAGGCGACTGGGGGATGATCTGAGAGAATAGCATTGAAACATATATATTATCAATTGTGAAACAGATCACCAGTCCAGGTTTGATGCATGAGACAAGTGCCCAGGGCTGGTGCACTAGGATGACCCAGAAGGATGGGATGGAGACAGAGGTGGGAGGGGGGTTCAGGATGGGGAACACATGTAAATCCATGGCTAATTCATATCAATGTATGGCAAAAAAACACTACAATATTGTAAATAGCCTCCAACTAATATAAATAAATGAAAAAAAAAATAAAAACAAAAAATTTGATGAATCTGAAAACATGTTCTTTTATTAATAACTTTCATTTTCAATATGGGTTCTAAAGAAAACTCATGTGCAAATGTAAAGATGTTTTAATAAATTTCCATTGAAGTCTCAATGTGGAGAGTATTAACTATGTGTTTCAGCATAGTTCTTGGCTTAGACCTAGGGAATCCAAGGGATTTTCCCCAACAAAAGTGAGATTAAGCAACCTGTCATGAAAGAGGAAGCAAATGCAAGATTCTTTCTCCCAACAAGTAAGCCTCTGGATGTGGGAAAGCAAAAACAGGCTTAGTATTTCTAAACCAAGCATATACTTACATCATGGAGTGGAAAGGCAGATGAGTAAGTGTTAGAATTTAGCAGTCTTTCAATGCCAAACCTTTTCTTCCCATCCTCCACACCAAAAGGACACCGTGAGAGAATATAATAAACCTATGAGGTAAGCACAGATACACCTTTCAGAAATTTATGCTTTCTATGTTTTTCAAAATCACAATTTAACAATGTCTACTTTTTCTCAGGAGAAGGGCATGGCAACCCACTCCAGTATTCTTGCCTGGAGAATCCCCGTGGATAAAGGAGCCTGGCAGGCTAAATACAGCCCATTGGGTCACAAAGAGTCAGACATGACTGTGCTACTAAACACACACACACACACACACACACACATTTCTTCTCAATGCAGATACAGGCTCTGGTAATGGAAGGAATCTTCCCCTTGCTGTCTGGAGGAAGATGCAGAAGGTAGGGTTGTGTAGAACTACAGGTACTTCACCTCCTGGGTTTGAGAGCTCCTTACTCCCTCAGGGAGAGGAAGAATGGCTTATAACTTATTTTTTCTTCTCATGTCCCAAGCTCCTCTGGGAGTTCTTTGTACCAGAATCGATACTATAATTGGGGCTTTAAGTTGGAGTCTAATATCACTGCACCTAACAGTTGAGTTAGGGTAATAGGGAGTAGAACTGACACTTGGCCAAGTAGTCTTGAATGCTTTCCAATTCATTACTCTGATGTTTTATACAGGGCCTTTTCCTAATATTAACACAAGATGAAGAATTTATTAACTCAAGAAGATCATACCTCTCTATATAACTACTGTGGGATTATTTACATGTTTTTATTGGTCTTATCCTTTATAAAACTCTATATTTTCCTTGGGTTGTGTTCCTGTATATTTGTCAATTCAATCTCATCTGTTTTTTGTCTTTCAGAAACTTTTCAGAATTTCTGCTTTTCTGATTTCAGCCTTTTTAGCACTGTGTAGGTCTATTTCTCTTTCCCTCACCTTTTAAACATATTATTATCTAAGGAATTGCTGATTACAAGGTCTGTCATCCTTAAATCATTATCTAATCTGGTTATTCATTTTAAGGGCTGTTTAATACTTATGTCTTGGTAAATAAATGATAATTTATGTGAGGTGGTTTTAATTTTATAAATAATGTGATAAATATTAGCTATTTTACATAATTTGGATTATTTCCCTAGGAAAGATTCACCAAAAAGAACTCCATATTGGGGAGCTAACAAAGTGGAAAACTTTATTCTTCCAGATATTAAGACTTATGATAAAGCTATGTTAATAAATACAGCATGGTATTGTCAAATAAAAACAAATTTAGACTTAGGAGCGACTTTAAAGAATTATAGGAAGAGGATGAGGCAGACTACTGTGATACAGAGATATGGGAACATGGAGAAGTAAGCCTGGTTCAGGAAGTGTCTTTCTTTGTGTTAAGGAAGGGCTAGTCTACATACCAACATTGGCTCAGGTTATGGGTACATCAAAGTTTACAGTCTTTTAGGGAAGAAATAAGTCCAATTGAAGTTTGGTTAATTCACCTGGCAAGTACTTTGTTTCATGGGATTGATGAGGATAAATAGTTCAGATAACAATTTATGAAACAGAAGAGGACTGTGGAAGGCCTGTGTTTAAACTTTATTATCATAAAGTAATAACAAAAGGAGAAACTGTAAGGGTAAGTATAGATCTAAAAGTATAAATCTCAGCCACAAATAAGAATTCAATTTTGCTATCCACTATAACACTGATGAACCTGAAGGGTAGTACGCTAAGTGAAATAAGTCAGAGAGAGACAAATATGTAGAATATGATATGTAGAATCTAAAAAAATAAAATGAATGAATATAACAAAACAGAAACAGATTCAGAGAGAACAAACTAGTGGTCATCAGTAGGGAGAAAGAGGTGGGAGGGGTGAGATAAGGAGAAGAAATAGGAGATACAAACTATTATATGCAAAATAATAGGATACATGGATATATTATAGTGCACAGGGAATATAACCAGTATTTTATCATTTAAATGGAGTATAACCAGCAAAACTATTGAATCACTATGTTGTACAAAAAAAACAGTGTCTAGGATATAGTAAGTGCTATTTAAATATTTGCTATTATTAATAGTAATAGTATTTTAAGGAAACTCAAAACTATTTTGCACATTTGAGGTGTCACTGTTTTAAGTATATACTTGCAAATATGACTAAGAAGAATACAATTTGGATACATGCATTTGGTATATGTCAAAACAGTAAGAAAGAAAGAGAGGAAGGAAGGAAAAAAGAGAGAGTAAAGAAGGATAGAGGGATGGAGGAAGGAATGAAAGAACAGACATTTCCCTGGTGCCAAATCTTAGAGCATTTCCTTCAGAGATTTATAATTATAAATTCTTTTTCTCTTCTCAGAGATGTATGCAAATCCTTTTAAAAGCTAAATAAACTTCTTGCCAGTTCTCTAACTCAGGAGTGTTTTTCTTAAGTTTTCTAGGAACCATCTCTTTCAAATGTAAACATCAAGAAATACAGCATCGCTGTTTTCTTTTCTCTATATGGGAGTGTAGTCTAGGCATCTGGTTCCAAGTTGTAGGTACCTGCTTCACATAGATATATGAGAAGCTTTATAATTATGAACACTTCAATTAGCAGATGAACTTAGAATAAATTATGTGGCAAATAGTACAGCCAAGCCTAACAGAGGGGTCATCTGTGAAATACACATTGTGAGGCTCAGATATCACGATGATTGTGAAGATGCTTTGAAAAGTATGAAATCCTATACCAATGAAAGGTGTTCTTGTAACACTGTACAGTTTATATGTACATGAACTACAGTGTTCCAGTTGAAGATAGGAAGGAAGGGTCTTTTCTACATCAATTTTTCAAATAACTTTCTGAACAGAGCAAGAACAGTATTGCTCCACTATGAAGGAGGGGAAGTTGTTGAGTTTTAAAGCTGAATTAACCTAAGGTATTAGCACTCGTGACAAAAAACAAGTAAAGATAAATGAATACTGACCTTTCTATACCTGAACAAGTGACTGACTTAATCCTATAAGTTCAGTCGCCTATTGCTAGCAATTTTCTAAAGCATTTACAGTTTACAGAGAGCTTCATGTATACTGCCACAGTTCAGCTGGCTCAGATGGTAAAGCGTCTGCCTGCAATGCGGGAGACCCAGCTTCGATCCTTGGGTTGGGAAGATCCCCTGGAGAAAGAAATGGCAACCCACTCCAATATCCTTGCCTGGAAAATTCCATGGGTTGAGGACCCTGGTGGGCTACAGTCCACGGGGTCACAAAGAGCCGGACACGACTGAGCGACTTTGCTTTCACTTTTTCACTTTCATGTATACTCTTTCATTTGATCTTTCCAAGAATGCTAGTCTTTACCATTCTCTCTGTTTTAAGACAGATTATCTGGTTTATAAAGTAGACTTGTGAATTAAAACCTGGCCTTCTGATTTCATGCCATGTGCTCAACATTCCCTTAAATGTTGCGTCTTAGATCTGCTGTTCCTGCTGCTGGTGCTTTTTAATCCAGGTAAGACAAGGGAGAGAACTTTTAGTTTGCTGATTTGCATTTTTTTTTTTTTAATTCTAGATATTACATTTTGTTTAATATTCCTGTCAGTGAATTTTTCAAAAACCAGATCTAGGGACTAGAAGAATGATTATTTCAAAATCCTTCTTAGAAACTTAGGAGTGGTGAATCTAAGGGGAAATGAAGTCTCTCATTACTCAAGGAAAGAGTAAGTAATCTAAAGACTCTTGTCATTGTTAGAACCCTGATGATTTCATTAGATACATGGGCAAAGAGTAACAAAGAACCTGAATTTTTTTCCTCTAAAGTCAGATCAATAATAATAGGATCTTACACTTAGTAAATCCCTCATGCATTCCACAAACTATTCAAAGTCATTCACACCTTAACTCATTTAATTCTCAGGGTAACCTATGAGGTGGGCATTACTTTTATCTTAACAAGAAGAAATAGGGGCAAAGAAATGGTGAGAGATTTTTAATGAGAAATTTAAAGATTCTAGGACTACAACTGGAGAGGAAATATTATTATAAAAAAGACTGAAAATGGTTTTAAATGAAAGGAAAAAGCTCTGATGTTTCTCAAATGCTGTCTATTGTGGACAAAATAAAATAATGCCTGCTATTTCAATAAACAAGGAATGCTGCCTGCCACCAAGCCATTTACCACTGCAGCCATCCCACAATGGGTGATTCAGGACAGAGAAAAGCAGGATACAGGTCCTACATAGTTAAGAGGTATACCAAAGGAACAATTTCAACAAGCCCAGACTTCTGAATCTTCCCATACCCAGAAAAGCACTAAAATTATTAACTTGAGATATCTGTGTTTGGCAACTAGCTGTAATCTTTTAATGCTCTACTACACGTTGTGTGTGTGTGGTTTTTTTTTTTCCCTAGCAAAAACTCCTTTTTATCCTGGGTCCTCCATGACCTCTGTGCAACAGTTCCTCAGAGTTATCTGAGAGGCTGTTTCTGGGCTATAGTCTATGACAATGTCCCTGAATAAAACATAATTCTCAACATTTAGGTTGTGCTTCTTTTTTTCCTGGTCAACACCATATATAAAGAAATTAAAACATTTCATTTCCATTTGGAATGACCAATATTTCTCCTAATATGCACTGAATATATAAAATCAAATGCTAAAATTATAGAATGATTTTCCAGAAATCTTACAACATCAAAGTCCTCTAGGTCTCAATTAAGTAATTTCCCCAATATTGCATGAGGCCTCTCTTTGCTATATTGACACTGTCAACTATTCACTTTTATGAAACAATTTGAGAAATAGGGAGGTTGACAGGGTTAAGTGGTCCAAGATGGACATTCAAACTTGCCCAATATCATGGAACACATCAAAATCTATACAAAACACCTTGCAGTCATAGTACTGCACACGTACACATATAAAAGCACACTTTAAGGGATGTACCCAAAGGTTTTCTCTACCTACAATTCTGTTTCTTGATGAGGATGGAAAGAAGCTTGACTCATCCTGAATGAGGAAGAGCTCTTGCCGATGTCTGGTGAACTGGACAGTGAAATATTCTGGGGTGGGCTGCTTCACATCCCGGGGGAGCTTCAGAGGCTCAAGCATACACCTAAAAGGGATTTTGTCATCTGAGGGAATATCACTCTCCTTAACAGGCATTTTCATTCCCAACACTTCGGCATAAGTAACTAACACCTCCCAAGGGGCATGGATCTTGACAAAATAAGTCCTTCCATCTTCAGAGTTCTGTATAAAATGGAGGCAAAATAGTGGAAAGATTACTAAATTGATTAAAGAAAGAAAATATTTACAAAACCTCAAAGATGTCACAGCATTTTCAATTTTTTGAAAACTTTCAGCAAAATTTCTAGAAGAGTAATGCTTAAAACAGTGGTACATACCTTCTTCTTGTTTAGTTGCTCACTTGTATCTGGTTCTTTGTGACCCCATGGACTGTAGCCCACCAGGCTCCTCAGTTCATGGGATTTCCCAGGCAAGAGTACTGGAGTGGGTTGCCATTTCTTTCTCATACACACACACACACACACACACACACACACACACACACATATATATGTGTATATATACATGTATAATATGTGGGTTTTCCTGGGGGCTCAGTGGTAAAGAATCTGCCTGCAATGCAGGAGGAACAAGGTTCCATCCACGGGTTGGGCAGATCCCCTGGAGAAGGAAATGGCAACCCATTCCAGTAATCTTGCCTGGGAAATCCCATAGATGGAGGAGCCTGGTGGGCTACAGTTCACTGGGTTGCAAAAGAGTCAGACACCACTTGGCAGCTAAAAATAACAACACACACACATATACACACACATGTATATACACATACATTATGCATGTGTGTTGAGAAAGAAAGAGACATAGAAAAACAAAGTGAGAGTCTTTTTAAAAATATATTTCAGGGTCAATGTACACGAGCCTGATATCCATAGAAACACATGCGGTTCTGGACAATCCCTTATGTTTTTAACAACTAGTTATTAGCTCAGAACTGTGCTTAGGATATATGAGAAATACACAAAGTATAAGATGTACTTGCTCTTCTTACCCAGTTTCAATGTATTGCCTATACCTAGGAGAAGAACTTTAGGTAACAACAGTTCATTACAAAGGAGAATAGTTAAGTTACAGATAGAATATGTGGCATAATTCATATTTATTAGAGTTCAGTAAGAAAAAATTCAGCGATAAATATGAAGTAGAGAATATTAGCTTAGAACTAGAGTATTAGAGTTTCATGGACAGGGTTGGATCTGAAATAGGTCTTTAAAAGCAATATGGAAAGAAATTCTAGACAAGTAAACGGTAGGCTAGAAAAAAAAAAAAGTCATATTAATGAGCAGAAAAAATGTCTAGGCCTTAGCTAAAAGTTTGTGTTGCAAGACAGCCAGGTTAACTAGTTAAGATGTTAGATTATAGGCCGCCTTCAAAATGAGACAGATATGAAACAAAAACCATGTCTTTACTTTCTCTGGATCCTGACGAGAACTATGCATGCCTATTTTTAAAGTGTTCCACTCATCACTCATCATCTCAATTTCAGAGCACTGACGTAGTTATTCACCTGGAATATCACAGGCCCTATCAACCCCAGTGTAAATGTCAGTAAGCCAGAAAAACAATAGTTTGCTATTTTGTGTTTGCTCCCAAACACAAAAGTCTAGTCAGTCAAAGGTCAGAGTGCAAGGAAACAAAACTTAAAAAACCAAGACTCTGGTATAGACTAATAACTACATTTACCATTTTATCTTCAATTTCCAACTCAAGACCAGTTTTTCTGAGATTTTGTTCAAATTCTTTTCTTCTTTCCTATGGAAAAACAAATCAGTAGAATTCTGTAAAATACTTTTATTTGCCCAGTGATAAACAGACTTGTTACACAATGACTGGGCCTTCAGACGTTCCCTGGTTGTATATAAAAGCATTCTATGTATTACCACCATCTTAGTGCCATGAATGGCTTTTCATCTGTATTATAATTCACACTATAATTATAAAAACCAATATATTTAGGAATAACCTCCAGGAAATATGCAGGACTGCTCCTCTGGAAAAAAAAAAACACAGAAAACTTTACTAAATTAACATAAAACATTTTGATAAACAGAGATATATTATACTTCTAGTTGGGAAGGCTCAGTCCTACAAAGATATCAGACACTTTAAACAAATGACATATTTAATGCAATTTTCAGGCAAAATATCATTATGACTTTTTAATCATGAAGAATAGTTTCACTCAGAAAAAGTAAAATTAAATTTAATTCAATTAAATGTAAATAATCACTACTTGCGAGCTTTAAAACAATAATTAACTATTCAAAATGCTTTTGGCCTTAACTGTAAGTGTGAAAAATTGTAACTGTGATTTAAGTATAATTCAAGTATGAGTTAACCCTTGTGTAAGTGTAAAAAATTGCAACTGTGACTTAAATGTAAAAAATTATAACTATGAAAAATAGTAAATGAAATTTTAAAAGGTTTTACTAGGATATCACAGGACATATCTTCAAATGCATATGTTCACCTTGAGAGATCTTCTATAATTTTAATGTGTTCTTTTTCTCCAACATCCAACATTTACAACATGTGAGAATATGTTTACGAACAATTCTCCCCTATCTGATACTTTTTCACAATTGCCCTTCTCTTATGTTACCAACAGAAAAAGCAGGCTGCAATCCTCCAGGAGAGCAAAAACAAAACAAAAATAAAACAAGGGGCTATCTGCAGTCAGAAAGATAAGCCAGAAAGATAAAGACCATTACAGTATACTAACACATATATATGGAATTTAGAAAGATGGTAACGATAACCCTATATGCAAAACAGAAAAAGAGACTCAGNCTCCTGGCAGTCCAATGGACTCTCAAGAGTCTTCTCCAACACCACAGTTCAAAAGCATCAATCCTTCGGCACTCAGCTTTCTTTATAGTCCAACTCTCACATCCATATTATGACTAATGGAAAAACCATAGCTTTGACTAGGCGGACCTTTGTCGGCAAAGTGATGTCTCTCCTTTTTAACATGCTGGCTATGTTGGTCATAGCTGTTCTTCCAAAAAAAAAGTGAATACCTCCTCTCATTACAGTAACAAATGCTTCTGTGAGACATGGGGACATCAGTTCTCCAACTTCAGTAAAACTGAAAGCTGAGCTAAGTATTGTTAGGTGATAGACCATCAAATGTTACTTTTATGACAAATCACTTGGCAATCTGCTGCTGTAATTCAGGAGTTCACCCAAGAAGATTAAAGTTGCTAAAAGAGTACCATTTCTGTTCCAATCTACTTATTTATCTGAACAAGCCTAATTTATACTAACATTAAAAAAAAAAGAATATACTTGAAGCTGAAACATCTCATTCTAGAAATAATTCTCATACATCTACGAATAAAGGAAATTTGGTTGGGCTTCCCTGGTGGCTAAATGCTGGGGAGTTGTTGCCAGGGCAGATGACATGGGTTCAGCACCTGATCCGGGAGGATCCCACACGCCACAGAGCAACTAAGCTTGTGTGCCCCAACTATTGAGCCTGTGCTCTAGAGTCTGGCAGTAGCAACTACTGAAGCCCATGCACCCTAGAGCTCATGCTCCTCAACAAGAGAAGCCACCACAAAGAGAAGCCTGAAAACCACACAAGTGAATAGCTACTGACAGCCACAACTAGAGGGAAGTTTGTGCAGCAGCAGTGAAGACCAAGCACAGTCAAATATGAATAAATCAACAAAATTATTAAAAGAAAAAGAAGATATTGTTTAAAGCCCCTGCATTTATTTCATTAACTGATGTATTTAGGATGAGTCTACTTTTGATGTTTGATAATTACTTGTCAATTATTGTAGTATTTCAAGTTTTACCAATTATGCACTTGTACAACTGTATTTAAAAAAAAAACCCTCAAAAAACAAAAGAAAAAGCTTAAGGCTTAGACCGTTCTGATGAAGAAATAAAAACCCTTCAATGTACATACACATTTGTTGTAGCAAACTTGACTGAATAAATGATAGAAGCCTCCTAAATATAAAACACATTTAAATTAGGAAAAAATTACACAGAGAAAGTGGAAGGAAAATTTTAGGTGGAGAAAAGCAAATTATGTAAAATTTGAAGGGTTAAAAAAGTTTCTTCATATAATTCATTTTTTCAAAATAAATGATGATGGGTGACAAATTGCCATGACATTTACCTTCTAGGGGTGCAAGCTAAGAGGTGATTTAACTGGATCATTTACAATACACTATAAATTCTCTCCTTTGCAACTACTGAAATATATGATAAATAACTGTAGATGAGAAAGACTTGTAGATGAATCCAGGCTTTGGGGAGAAGTCCAGGAGTTCATTTTAGACCTGCTGAGTCTGAGATTCTGTAAGACTTCTGAGGAGAGATACAGAACAGCCATATAGGAAAGAAGTATGAAGTGGAAAAGTAAACAGAATTAGCACAAACATGGTCTGAAATTTTAAAACTGTGAGACTGGATGTATCATCCAAGAAATCGATGTAGACTGAGACAGGAAGAGGATCAAGGACAGAACCTAAGGCACTACATTAACAAGGGATCAGGGCTAAGCAAAGGTTGAAAAGCAGTGGCTAATGAAATAAGAAGAAAACCGAAAGAATGTGGAGACTTGGAAGCCAAGTCAAGAATGTGCAGCAGAGAGAAAGGAATGTTAAGTGGTAGCAGACGCTGCTAACAGGTCAAGCAAAATGAGGGTTGAGACTTGAACACTAGATTCATTTATATAAACGTGAGCAGAGGGGGTGAGGTTAAGGCCTGATAGGAATGGGTTTAAGAGAAAATTGAGCCAAAAGAAAACAGAAATTGACAGTAGCTGGCAGGGAAACAGATCAAGAGAAGGTTTTTGTTCTTGCTTTTTTAGTTTTTATTTTTTAAATATGGAAAAATTAACATCACATTCACCTGTTGAAAGAAATGATTCAGTAAAGAACAACACAAAATGTAGTTTAAGGGAGAAAGAATCATAAAAGCAACATCCCTAACTAGGCATACTGTAACAGGCTTAAAACTGCTACTCTTAGAGAGGCCTGACTGCAAGGTCGGCTCTGGTGTTTGGAATCTGATTTTGGGGAGTGTTCCTACCACTCTCAGATCTACTAAGAGTGGCTGACTTCACTTCACCTGTTTTGTACAAATTATGTCATTTATACTGAACACTTGCTTCCCTTCAGGACTATGAAATACCAGTATGAGCTCAGCAGAAGGTGACAAGTAAAATCCTACAGTGCTGCATCATTAATGATATATGTAGAAAACTATAAAAGACTGATGAAAGAAATCAAAGAGGACACAAATAGATGGAGAAATATACTGTGTTCATGGATTGGAAGAATCAATATTGTGAAAATGGCTACACTACCCAAAGCAATTGATAGATTCAATGCAATCCCTATCAAGCTACCAATGGTATTTTTCACAGAACTAGAACAAATAACTTACAGTTTGTATGGAAATACAAAAAACCTCGAATAGCCAAAGCAATCCTGAGAAAGAAGAATGGAACTGGAGGAATCAACCGATGAGATTTAAAGCTCAGAAGTTTTAGGGCTAAGCAAGGGAGGATGGACTGGAACCAACAAGATACAAAGAGAGCAGGCATTCATCCATCTCCGGAAAAACAGTCTGCAGGGGAAAAACCGCCACCACTTAAGAGGGCTGCTGGGGATGGCATCAAATCCCCAGGAGAAAACAGGCTTTAAGAGACATTCAGACAAGAGCTGAAAGTGGTGACAGTGAATGAATTTTAGTGCCCTGGTGGAAGAGTTTCCAGGGAAAGAGTAGAAGAAATGAACAGGGAGGGATATGTATAGGGACTTACATAATATCTTTAGTTTTTTACTTCATGGGACATTTATTTCCTATGTTAAGCATGTTAGTAAATGTGTGTTTATATGCTTACCCACTGCTGCTGTTGTTCAGTCACTAAGTCATATTAAACTCTTTGAGGCCCCATGGACTGCAGGACACCTCAAATATTTAATGGCTCAATCAGCAAAGAATCTGCCTGCAAAGCAGGCGACCCAGGTTCAATCCCTGGGTCAGGAAGATCCCCTGGAAAAGGAAATGGCAACCCACTCCAGCATTCTTGTCTGGAAAATCCCTTGGACAGAGGAGCCTGGCGGGCTACACAGTCCATGGGGTCACAAAAGAGTTGAACACAACTTAGTTGGACACAACACACTAAACCAACCAACCAATATTTATTAAGCATCCATTATTCTCCAACTACTCCTCTAGACATTTGAGTATACAGTAAGAAACAAGACAAAGTTTTTGGTTTTGTGAACTTACTTTATGGTGTCGGAGACAGTAAACAAGTAAAAAAAAAACACAAGTAAATAATGTAAGTTTAGAAAGTGATAATGTAAGTTCAGAAAGAACATAATGTCAAGGCTATTTCAGATAGAATGGATTAATGAAAGCTGAAATGAAATTGAATACAAAAGATAAATATTATATTCATACATACACCCAAATTCTGGTGGTCACATTTAAGAACAAAGGTGAGCTACAAAAAGAAGCCCCTGTCCAAAATGTTAAAAAAAAAATTGAAATTACATATGTATTTTTGGGTTGCATATTTTGTAGTCTTTCCACTCAGTTTCCACTTCCAGAAATACTCTGGTGTCGCTAACTTTTACAATATAATTTCAGTGGAAAGATCCCTGTCAAATTATGGAATGTGCTTCTTATTATTCCCATCTCTCTCTTGTAAGTACTTACCGCCTTCAGTTCTGCTTCTTTCTTTATGTCATCAACATAGGAAAGCACAAAATCAATTTTCCTAATCCCATCTCTGAAGAAGATAGAATCTTTGCTTTGTTCATCTTTTTTAAACTGCAGGAGACATGAATGGCACAGCTTTAAATTACAGTTTTATTTTCAGATGGCAAAAACATGAAAGAAATTAAGTTAAAATTTGGTTACCATCTAATTTCATTTTCCGAAAATGACAGATGAAGACAGAGCTTTCATCAATGGAAGATCATGCTCATTTTAGAAAGTCACATCCATAAAGAAGTTACATATTAAGCAATGAAGACTCAAGATGAAACTAAGCATATTGACTACATGCACATATAATAAAAATGTTACAATTATACCAAAATACAAAATGAATACATGTATACATTGATCCCAAAAGCATATTCAGAGAAAGACTGGTTATTTCATTAAGCAAAATACCAATTAGTCCAACAAATAATCCATGGTCACATACTACTTTAGGGGTATAATTCATTACAGAATAATTAATGAATCTCACTGCAAGAACAAAAACATAATTAATGCTCATGCTATGTTTTCATAAAATTGCTTTTTAATTAACTTTTTGAAAGGTTAAAATCAAGATGCAACTAAAAATTAGAAAGCAAGTTAGCTTGCTAGCTGGCTTCAAGTAAACTCACATACAAATCTTTTTTTTTTTCCACTTATTTTTATTATACAAATCTCCTTTTCAACATCAATTACTTAAGTGAGCTAAAATCAATGCCCTGTTTAAATCTGTTATCAATTCTTTCAGTAAAATGGTCAAACTTGCAAATTTACCCTTCACATGTATAGGTCATTAATTCCTCCCCTTTCAAAACTACAAAAACATCAGAGAGCTTCAAAAAGAAGAGATTTTAAGTTTGACTGATTTGGTCCTCTTGGGAGTTTATATGTAATATGTAATAGTTAATATTTGGAACAGTCCACATATAATACCTAGAATGATGTAAATAGATGATACAGTGCATATCAGTGATCTCTCTAACCCTGTGATACAAATTTATAATATAGACAACTTTCCAACAGCTTGAGCTAACTAGTGAATGGGGAACTGGGTTTTTAATTTTCATAACTGGTATTTATTTCAGTGTAAGAGTTTCTTTTATGGTATTCTATGCTGTTTTTCATTCAAGTTAGGCCAGGCAAATCACCCATAAAAAGGACTGGATGTAGATCAGTCAAGTAAGAATAAGAAAAAAATCTCATGTTTGAGCTATGGTTTATGAACAGAATAACTGTATTTTATTTATATGAATGCATAACTAGTATGTCTCAGAAAGAACTAGCTCCCACTGCACAGGAGGAAATGAGTGAAAAAAGAATGAAGAAATAAAAAATACTCAAGGAGTGCAGAGATTACATATCAAGATTTCATCATTTAAATGTTATGTCTGAGTTTTTTGCACCCCAAAGGATACATAGTCATCTCTCTTCTCATAAAAGAAAGTAAAAAAAAAAAAAAGAAAAATTCAAACTGTTATTATGTTATAGATCTTGATTATAAATCACTAAAAAAAAGTGAACAAAATGAAAAATTATTTGAGCTCTTGTACGTTGTCACAGGATTAGCATATTTTATGAAATTACCAAACTGGGGAAGGGAAAATAATACTAATTAGATTAAATACAATCAAAGCAAAAAATTAGAGGGAAAAATAATAATCTTTTTGCTCAAAGTCTGGGTCAGTCATATTTTGTCTGGTAAAGTTTTTTTTTTTTAAATGACATATATTGGTAAGAATTCATATTGTTTGTTTGAACAGCTAAATTTAGGTCCACAAAGAGAAGTTCTGGTGACAGAAGATGTGCATATAGAAATCAACAAAAACACACTCAGAGTTTTTTTCCATTAGGGAACAAACAAAGTAGCCGGACTATTTAATCCAATTATTTCCTGAATGTTCAGTCAAAATGTGCTGTGTTTAGTCGCTCAGTCATGTCCAACTCTTCGCAACCCTATGGACTGTAGTCTGCCAGGCTCCTCAGTCCATGAGCACATGTAAGTCCCTTCTCCCAAAAACCAAAGGATACCTAGAAAAACACAAATCTCTGTCATTATGTCATTCACTAACTATAAACTGTAAACAATTTTTAACATACAGAGAAATCACCGGTAGCCCTGTAAACACTATGAGGAGAGTCCCATGGGCAGAAGAGCCTGGTGGGCTGCAGTCCATGGGGTCGCGAAGAGTCGGACACGACTGAGCGATTTCACTTTCACTTTCATGCATTGGAGAATTTTTTTTAAAGGAAGAGGTTCCAAAGCTTAAGTCAGACCCCAAAATGATTATGAATCACCATTCTAAAATCTCAGTTGCCTGGGGAATAGGAACCAATGACAAAGTCCCTCAAATTAACAGCATTCATTGCAACAAAAATGACTCAGGCTAGCAATGCAGCCGACCAAAGCACAGGCAGTTATCATTCCGCACTGGTTACCAGAAGACGCCGCCTCAGGAACAAATTGTATCGCGTGGCAGGCTGGGAAGCAATCAATAGAGTGTTAGCAAATCCTGCCCAGAATTAAAGAAGATTTCCCCCAAAGCAGACATACAAACAGACAAACCCCAGTATGATCGCTCATGTGAATATGCATGAGTATGTGTAACACTTCAGATCTGGAAGGTGGGAGGAGACAGTAAGAAGAAAAGAAGAACAAAAAAAGAAGAACAAAAAAAGAAGAACAGAAAAGAAGAAGACAATAAAGAATAAATGAAAGAAAAAAAGGGGACTTTGAAGTAAATTTCCCTAAATCCTTTTACAGTAACTTTAAATAATACACATTTGTGGACCTGGATAAAGAAAGAAAAAAGAGAAAAAATAATGAAGGAAAACATGAGAATGGAAATGTAAAGTAAAATAGATGTAGTAGAAATTATGTTATGTATGCCTATATACATCAGGCAAAGAAAGCAAAATTATTATAGTTATTCTGGGACCATGTATGGTATGAAAAGCTCACCCAATAGTATAAAATATTTCATTATTGAAAAAAATACTGAAATTACCATTACCATATAAGTGTGTTTGTAATTACTCTTTTAAGAAAGAGGTTCCAAGCTTTAATCAGATCTAAAAGATTAATGATCTTTCATTACAATTAAAATATTTCACTATCAGAATATTGGGGGGAAAAAGTCACTTAATTACTTAAATGCTGAGTTGTGTTCAATCTTCAGTTACCATTATTTTTAGAATACCAAAGCAATTCACTAAAAAACATCTGGGATAATCAATAATATTTGAAAGGAAAACAACCTATGGCACAAAAAGGCAAGTACTATATTTCATAGTATAATGAAATTATAAATTATCTAATTAAATTATCAATAAAGAATTTCAGTTCTTGCCATGCAAAGTTTTGTTTAAACTGTTGTTTTTCCTGGAATATGCTAAATAGACCCAGCAACTGGTGACTAAGCTGGGAAAGTCTCAGCTCTGTAAACTGAAGAGCCTACTATGTATAGATGAGTTAATACTGCCATTACTTAAAAAAAAGACAGATACATGATGGATGTTGGTCACTGTATAAAGCATAATATTTTGTGTTGGGCTGAAATATTCTAACTTAGCACTTTAATTTTCTTGGGATCTTCCATGAGATCCACAAGTTACTACTTTTCTCAGATGTTTTACCAGAAGTCATCACAAAATTGTTAAGGAAAATGAAATACTCATACTCTAAGAAGCCATATAGGACCATATTATGACTTTCATGGGTCCCTTTTTCTATTAAAATGTTTAATAAAAAATAATATATATGATTATACTTTTTTTAACTCAGATTTTAAAATATATTAAGATTAAAACATTTCCATGGGATCCAATAAGTATTTTGTGCCTCCTATGCCTAAAGAATAAGTTGGCCCCGGAGTCATGGTTTAACTAGTACCACAACATTAAGAAGGCTGAGAATGCAAGGTATAAAAATTTACCTAAATGACTGGTAAAAAGCCTTCTGTGATAAATATATCTAATGTCAAGTTACTTTGCAGCCTTTCCAATACACAATATCCTCGCAATACAAAAATCAGTGAGCTCAGTATCAACAGTTAGTCCTGAAAAAGTACTGACTTAATATTTTTTAATTAATTTTAAATACATTAAATGAAGATCACCAAAGGACTTGATTACAAAATGATACAATTAACATTCCATAGACTAAAAATTTAGAATTAACAACTTTATTATGTATTTCCATCATGTGCCAAATATGTTCACTTTTCATTATAAAATAATAACACTAAACCTACTAAAAATGTATTTTTAAAATCATTCCTATTTCCTTGCTACTTTAGTAACTATTCAGTGTATTTACTTCTAGTTTTGTCTAAGCACTGAATTTTTTAATATAAGTGGCTATATTTAATGTACACACTTTTCTTGCCTTTTTAATATTACCATATTAAAATTAGTTTTCATATTATTATAAACTTACCATAAGCATAACTTGTCTGTGTCTTTTCAATTCATTAAATTTAATCTAATTTCTTTGTAAAAAGATATGTTAGAGCCTCTTCTCTATAAATAGAGTTGAAAACTTTTATTACTGGTGTTACACAGAAGTTGGCAATAACATCTTTCTTTCATTACACATAACTTGAACACCTTAAGTCCTAACTTTTGAATTATTATGCCAGGTGTTTTAAATCTATATACTTTTAAAATCCAAGATAGAGATGAGAGAGAGAAAGAGAGAGAGAGAGCGCAATGTCCAATTGGAAATGAAAAAAATATATATTTACATGAGGATCAAAAATATGAAGCATCTATGGACAGAGTTAACACATATGTATAATACTTGCACATTAAAAATGAAAATATTGCTGATATATACTAAAACATATCAAAACAGAAGATATATTTTATGTTCATGTATTGAAAAAGATCAATATCATTAAGATGTAAATTCTCCTAAAATTAATCTATAGATTCTAAGCAATACCAATCAAAACACCAATAATAATTTTTTAGACTTGTCAAGCTGATTGTAAAATTTACATGAAAAATGTAGATTCTAGAGTAGCCAAACAATTTTGATAAAGAAGAATAAATTGGAAATAATCTGATTTTCATACTTTTAATATAAAGTGAAGGCAGAGACATTACTTTGTCAACAAAGGTTCTTCTAGTCAAGGCTATGGTTTTTCCAGTAGTTGTGTATGGATNAAAAAAAAAAAAAAGGAAAGTCACAGACTGGGAGAAAATCTTTGGAATACACAAAACTGACAAAGGTCTTGCCTTCAAACTTTTTAAAAGTTAGTGAAAGATAATCCAATTTCTAAAATACAGAAGAGATTTGAACATATAGTTAACAGAAGATGTATGAATGGTCAATAAGCCCATGAAAAGATGTGCAACATTATCATTCATCAGGGAAATGAGAACTGAAACCATGAGATATCATTCACTCAACCACTAAAAGTAAAAAGCTGATGACATCAAGTGCTGGGGAGCACGGAGAGCAACTAGAACACTCATGCATTACTGAATGAAAAATACACAACCCCTTTTAAAAACATTTTTGCAGTTTCATATAAAGTTACACATACTCTTTCCATATGACCCAGAAAATTTCTCCTAGGAAATTAGTGCAAAGAAATGAAAATGTATGCCTATACAAACACCTCTTACATGAATATTCCTAACAGTTTTATTTATAAAGCTGAAAATGATTCAAATATCCATCAAACAGGTGAATGGATAAACAAATTCTGGTATATCCATACAATGGAATACTACTTAGCAATAAAACAAAAGAAACCAAAAAATTATGGAGATATTCAATGAGATTCAGTTTATCAGTATCACGTGGAATTCTCGATGAGTTTCAGCAACATTGTGCTGAACAAAAAGTCCAGGAGCCAGACACAGAATATAGTATATACAGTATGATTCTGCTCACATATCACTTTAGAAAAAATTTTTTTTTAAAAATCAGAGCTTGCCTAGGGCAGGGGTAAAACAGAAAAAAGGAAGCTTTTTTCCTGAGGTAATGGAAATTTATATCTTGACTGCTGTGATTTGTTAAAATTTGTCAAACTGTACACCTAAAATGCATTTTATTGTATGTAATGTATAAACAGTAGTGATGATAATTTTAACTTGAACAGCTAAAAGAATAGATTGTATGCAGTTGAGATATGAAAGATTTCAATTGAGCAGCTTCTTGTCTGGGGGAAAAAATTACATTTTAGATACATAAATATTGGAATGTCTTTAAACATTCAAATGCATATGGTGGGGAAAGACTTGGATATTTAAGCCTGAAGGTCAGGCGAGATGTCTATACTAGAAACTTCAAATTGAGTATGGCAACATAGCAATGGTAATTAAAACCATGAAACTGAATAAGATCCCTAGCAGACAGAATTAAATGTCTTGAGTCCTAGAGCAATCCTATCTAAGTAGATACATGGACCAATTATAAATACTAAACTATATTCATGCTAACTGCTTCTGGTTCATTTATTCAAATGTACATTCTGGATGGTTTGCATCTATGCCAAACATGTCATAAAATATTTGAACAATTGTCCCTGAGGTGTGTAAAATCTATACCCCCTTAAAACCACAACACCATGTTGGTTGTTATTAAGGCATGCCTCTAGTGTGCTTTCTAATACCCATTCCTCCTCCTTCAAACCCTAATAACTTTTCAAATTATTCCCCTTAAACACAAATGGCACTACTCTAAGACAGGTTCTTTTAGGTATAATCTTCATTTTTCTGTTATCTCATTTAATGGTTTTAGCATCCTTCTAACCTAGCTATTCAGCAAGCCATTTTGGTACTGATGACTTCCTGGTGGCTCAGAGGGCTTCCCTGGTGGCTTAGACAGTAAAGAATCCGCCTGCAATGTGGGAGACCTGGGTTCAATCTCTGGGTCGGGAAGAAGGGAATGCCCATTCCAGTATTCTTGCCTGGAGAATTCTATGAACAGAGGCTACAGTTCATGGGGTTGCCGAGTTGGACACAACTGAGAGACTAACACGGTCAACAACACTTTGGTACTCAATAAATCCACTGTTGACTGTGCTGTGCTGTGCTTAGAGGCTCAGCCATGTATGACTCTTTGTGATCCCATGGACTGTAACCCACCAGACTCCTCTGTCCATGGGGATTCTCCAGGCAAGAATACTGGAGTGGGTTGCCATGCCCTCTTCCAGCAGATCTTCTATTTTAACCTTAAAATAAAAGGTTAAATTGTGTGAATTCTTCCGAAGTTATAGAATCATTAGTCGGGAAGTTCTAGCATAATAATGGTTGGATTACATTTTTTTTCCCCCAAAGGGGAAATACATCCAATGATATCCAGCGGATATTCTCGGCTTGTCTCAGCAGATCCCTTTTCTATCCATTGCTACCCTGCTTTTTCTCCTGGGGAGGGTGACTGGTTATAGATATCAAAGAGTTCCTCTCATCTCTGGCTTCCTACAGATGACTGGAAGGAAGGACAGTGTAAATTTCTTCCTTTTTGAGGCTGGATTCAGGAGAGCTCTAACCCTCCCTCCACTGAAGTTCACTGACTGTCTCCTAGGTTCTAACAATTGTCCCCTCTCAATTTCCTTCATGGGCAAGGGGGTGATAATAAATATGTAAACAGTTCCCCCAAAATAATCAAGGGAAAAAAAAAAGAAAACCTACCAGTTTGACAGGAAAATAGACAAGATATATAAACAGAATGATCCAGCAAAATAAATGAAAATGACCATAAATGTAGAAAAAAGATAAATGTATCACTCATATTGAGAGGTATGAAAGTTTAAATTATCCTAGGATACAGTAATAAATGAAAAAGCTCCACTATCTATACCTCTCTAACAGACAGGCAAACATCTAAACTCAGTAAACACTGTTGGTAAGGCTCTGGAGAAAGAGAACACTTGTATATTTCTTAGAAATGCAAAACAGAGGGAAATTTAGTAATATATGGTAAAATTACATATGCCTTTATTTTTGATGGTTAAATACTATTTAGAAAGATACACTTGGCCAGAATATTATAAGCCTGATTCCCAAGGGTTAAAGACTAAAAGAAAGAAAAGATTTCCAAGATTAAAAACAACTGGAAGGTCCATCAGTAAAAGACTGGATGAATACATTATCCTAAACCCACACAATTGAATCCTATGTCATATATTAGCAAATGAGAGCGAAATCAATACACAATACAGAGGGAACTCCAGGATGTTTTTAAGTGAAAACCAAGGAACAGATCAATATGTAGAGTATGCTATCTTTAAGTGTAAGAAGCAGGAGAAATGTACACACACATATGTATTTAGACATGGACACACAGAAAAGTAATGGATGCACTGGAAGGACAAACTAAATAAAAATGCTCACTACAGAAGACTTAAGAGGAAGAAAAAAAGAAGAAATTTTTCTTTGAAATGCTTTGATTCATAGTTTCAAACGGAGATGGATTTACCTTCAAATAATAAAGTCAAAGTTTCAGTGCTCTTACATCAGTCCCTTCAAGCATTTAGGAAGAATTCTAGTAATGTGTTCGCTGTCACGGTCAAACATTTTTGTAAAGATTTTAACGTAAATTATTGTCCTATTATTCTTCTTAAAAAGTGACACCAAAATAGCATAAGCTTTAGGCTGCACTTAACATTATCTGATCTATGGTTTTCAACTTGGGAATCAGGTAAGTGTTTAACATGGTCAAAAAATAAACATAAATTAAAATAAATTAAAAATTAAAAAAAATAAAATTTCTGGTATTCTTTCTGATCAACCCCACAACCTTCATTCTGGAACATAAAGATAAGTATGCTAGTGAAAAGGAAAACATTTGTATCCAAATTTTCAGTAAGAAAATAACTCTATTTCCCCATCTTCCCAAATGGTATCTTTTAGTTACTAAGCAACTAATAAAAATTTTTGAATGCCTTTATTTACCTCTTAATTGACATTCAAATTGGCTAAATAAATTGCACTTCTTCATGATTATTCTTAGGTGTATACCTACAGGTAAGATGAGAGATGTATGGAGAAAGAATACTAAATTAGACCTCGGAAACCTGAGTCCTAATCTAGTCCAGGATATGCCCCCTAAACATATGCTTAATTTTGGTCAAATCATTAAACTTCTCACACCCTTCATTTTCTCATCTCTTAAAACTGAGAAAGTAAAATGCAAGCAAAATGCTATGCTTTATGCACCATTCTAACTAATGTGCCTGATGATACCTTTTTCCCCACAAGCAATGGACTGTTCGCAAATAAATTATCAAATATCATGTATAAGAACTTGAAAAATAACTGTGAACTAAGTAAGAGTCATAACTGCTGATTATGCAAAGATAACCCATCACGTCCATGCAAGAAAGCGTGCTACTGATGGCTGCTTACCTGTGCTTCTCGACAGATGAGAAAACTGGACTCTCCGCTTCTCAGGTCCTAATAGCACCATGGAGAAGACACAGCACTGTTAATGATAATGCAATGGACAGCATACAACTGTCACCAACAAAAACTCTAGGTTCTCTATGCAAAATCTAAACCTACAATTCAGGGGAGCTATGAAACACATGAAATTGGATGCAAAATTCTGCATGTACGTGGGGTTTCCCAGGTGGCACTACTGGTAAAGAACTCACCTGCCAATGCAGGATACATAAGAAATGTGGGTTCGATCCCTGGGTTGGGAAGCTCCCCTGGAGGAGGGCATGGCTACCCACACCAGTATTCTTGCCTGGAGAATCCCCATGGACAGAGGAGCCTGGCGGGCTACAGTCCACAGGGTCGCAAAGAGTTGGACATGACTGAGCAACTAAGCATAGCACAGATATAACTTTTCTTCTTTTAGTTCTGATTTTAGTTAGGTTCTCTTGTTTTCTTAGTTGAAACTGAAAGCTTGTACGTTTATCTTTTCAAGTATCAGCTCTTAATTTCGTTGATCTTTTCTATTGTCTTTTTAGTCTCTATGGCATTTATTTCTGTTGTGATCTTTACCTACTTTTATCATAAATGGATGTTGAATTTTGTCAAATGGTTTTTGGTATCATATTCTTTTTATCTTTGATGTGATCATATGATTTTTGTCTTTTTTTTGTCAATGTGATGTATTATGCTGACTGATTTGCATGTATTGAATCATCCTTGCATCCCTGGAATAAATTTTCACTTGACCATGGCACATGATCGTTTTAATGTATTTTTGAATTCTTCTTGATAATATTTTGTTAAGGATATTTGTATATGTGTTCAAGAGGTATATTAGCCTGTAATTTTCTTTTTTTTGTGGAGTCCTTGTCTGGTTTTTGTATCAGCATAGTTCTGGCCTCATAAAATGAATTGGAAAGTGTTCAATATTTTGGAAGAGCTTGAGAATGACAGATATTAAATTTTCTTTGAATGTTTGGTAGAGTTCTCCAGCGAAGCCATCTGGTCCTGGAATTTTGTTTGTTGAGAAGTTTTTGATGAATCATTAACTTATATATCACCATAAGAAAGGCTATATATGACAAGTCCACAGCAAACATCATGCTTAAAAGAAAAGCTTACACCTTTTTCTGTAAGATCAGGAATAATAACAGGATGTTCATTCTTGACACTTTTAGTTAACATAATATTGCAAGTCCTAGCCTGATCAATTAGGCAAGAAGAATAAATAAAAAGCCTACTACATTTAAAAGGAAAAGTAAAACTGTCACTATTTGCAGATGGCATGAGTTAATATAACCAAAAACCTGAAGACTGCCCCCCCAAAACTGTTAGAACTAATTATTAAATTTAGTAAAGCTGCAGGGTATAAAAATACACAAAAATCAGTTGCACTTCCATACACACTAGTAAAGAGTTATCATAAAGAGAAATTAAGAAAACAATCCCATTTACAATTGCATCAAAAAGAATAAAATACTTAAGAATAAATTTAACCAAGGAAGTGAAAGACCCGTAACACACTGCTGAAAGACACTGAAGACACACATAAGTAGAAAGATATCTATGCTCATGGATTGGAAGCTTAATATTGTTAAAATGTCTGTATCACACAAAGCAATCTACAGATTAATTCAATCAACCATAATTCCAATGGCATTTTTCACAAATTGAATAAACAATCCTAAAATTTGCCTAAACCCACAAAAGACCCTGATAACCCAACCGATCTTAAGAAAGACGAACAAATTTGGAGGCATCATGCCTTCTGATTTTCAACTCTATTATAAATATATAGTAATCAAAACATAATAGTATTGATATAAACACAGAAACATAGATGAACAGAACAGAGAGCCCAAAAATAAACACATTATATATGATCAATTAATTTATAACAAAGGAGCCAATAAACTACAATGGGGAAAGGATAGTGTCTTCTTCAATAAGGGGCGTTAGGGACACTGGATAGTCACATGCAAAATAATGCAACTAGACCACTATCTTACACCATACACAAATATTAATTAAAAATGGATTAAAGAATTGAGTGTAAGATCTTAAATCATAAAACCCAGGGAAAAAATAAAGGTGGTGAACTCCTTGACATCAGTCTCAGAGATAGTTTTTTGCATCTGACTCTAAAACCAAATGCAATAAAAACAAAACTAAACCGGTAGGATTATACCAAGCTAAAAAGTTTCTGCATAGCAAAGGAAATCATTAAAAAAAATGAGAAGGCAACCTACCAAAATGGGAGAAAATATTTGCAAATCATACACCTGATAAGAAGTCAACACCAAAATATATATATATACATATAAAAAACACATACAACTCAATAGTAAAAAAGCCAAACAATCCAATTGAAAAAATGGGCACAGGATCTGAATTAACATTTTCCCAAAGAAATACTGATGGCTAGCAGGCACATGAAAAGATGTTTAACATCACTAATCATCAGAGAAATGCAAATCAAAATCACTGTGAGATATCACCTTACTCTTGTAAGAAAGCCTACTATCAAAAAGATAAGGAATAACAGTGTTGACAAGAATATGGAGAAAAGGGAACCCCTATGCACTGCTGGTGGGAATATAAATTGGTACAGATACTACGGGAAACAATATGGAGATTCTTCAAAAAATTAAAAACAGAACTACCACAGGGTCTGGCAATCCCACTGTTGGTTATTTATCCAATGAATAAGAAAATACTAATTTGAAAAGATACGTGAACCCCTAAGTTCACTGCAACATTATTTACAACAGCCAACATATGGAAACTATCTGAAGTACCTATGAATGGATAAATTAATAAATCATATGAACACACACAAATACACACACACACATAAATACACACAATGGAATATTTCTTAGCCATAAGAAAAAGAATAACATTTTTTCAGGTGCTACATCAATGGAACTTGAGGGTATTATGCTAAGTGAAATAAATCAGACAGAGAAAGACAAATACTGTATGATTTCAGTTACACGAGGAGTCTAGAAAATAAAACAAATAAACAAAATAGAACACAACTTACAGACACACAGAACAGATAGGTGGTTGCCAGAAAAGAGGTGGGTGGAGACAAGCAAAAGGTTGAAAGGTGTCAGGAGATATCAACAGTCAGTTACAAATAAGTCATGGGGATATAATATATGATACAGTGACTGCAGTCAATGGTATAGTACTGCATATTTGCTAAAAGAGAATAAATCTTAAATGCTATCACAAGAAAAAATATCTGTGACTCTGTAGGATGATGGATGGTAATTAGACTTACTGTGGTGACATTTAGCAGTATATACAACTATGAATCATTATGTTGCACACCAGAAATTAATATCAGATTATATGTCAATTATACCTCAGTAAAAATGCACTAATCAGATACTACTAACTCTAACAAAAAAAGCCATCAAATATTATTCCTTGCATTATAGTCAAGCAGAGTGTTAAGCTAAATACTGTTATCTTGCATATCAAGTCTCAGCATATCTGAGTTTACATCACAGAAAGCCTCAAAACAAATCCAAACTTATGTTTTCTCTCGTATAACACCCAGAAAGATGCAATATTAAGTTTACATGAAACATGGAATTTGCTTTACTTAAAAATTAATAGGTTGGAGGACAAAACATGAAGAATGTAGTAGGAATAAATAACCGAAGTACAAAGACCCAAGTATTCATATGAAGTACATATCTAACCTTGCCTCAATTTTTGTTTTGACTTAGAAGAAGCTAACACATATATTTAACTTACCTCATTTGCTCTGGAATGATGTTCTTCTCTACTGACTTGTCTGTCTAAATTAAACAACAAAAAAAAGTCATGTTAAAATGGCCAACTGATTACAGTATGTTAAAACTCTGAATAGGGAGAATTCAAAATTTAAAAGATCATATTCTCTGTGAACAGAAACAATTTTCATTCTTCCTTTCCAATTTAGATGTCTTTTATTCCTTTTCCTGCCTAACTGGTCTGGCTAGAACTTCTAGTACTATGCTGAATAGAAGTGACAAAAGTGAATATCCTTGGGTGACCAATAAAGTTAACTCATAAACAAAAGCTTCTTGAAGTTCCTAATAATTATTAAAAGTATAAAGGGGTTCTGAGATTTAAAAAAAAATGCTATCTTAGCTATATTTCAGTAGAAATGAATGCACTATGGGAATGGTACAAGAAGGTTCATAACAGCATTATTGGTAATAACCAGAAAACCAAGGTTTCCCAGGTTGGCTCAGTGGTTAAAAAAAAAAAAAAAAACCCACCTGCCAATGTAGTAGACACAGGAAATGTGTGTTGACTTTTGGGCTGGAAAGATACCCTGGAGAAGGAAAAGACAACCCACTCCAGTATTCTTGCCTGGCTAAAATCCCATGGACAGAGAAGCCTGGCGGGCTATACTCCATGGGGTTGCAAAGAGTTGGGCATGACTGAGCACACAACACTCAGAAAACCAGCATCATCCCAAATATCCAGAAACAATAAAGTGGATCAATACAATGTAGTATAATCACACCATGTATGGTATTTAGCAATAAAATTGAATTTGCTTTAATTAGATGCAAAAACATAAATCTCCCAGAAATAGTTCAGCAAAAAGGCAGAAATAATTAGCAATATTTCAATGACATAAAGTTTAACTATGCAAAACCAAAGTGTGTTACTTACGGATGAATACTTAAGGGTAGGTAAATGTTGGGATACAATTAATATAATTACTCGTCAAAAAAACACTTCAGTTCCCTAAGCTCAGATTGCTGTCCTGTATTGCAAACCACACCCCAAATACTCAGGCTCTCTCTGCACTGACCTGTGACAACCTAGGCTCAGGCAATGACATATGCTGCTACTCTGGGCACTGCTAATGCTGTGAATAGTAAACTGTTCTTTGTCTCCCATCCAGGTGTCTCATAATCTTCTACCTGTAACCATGAAATTCTAACAGGCTACTCTGTCAACTTTCAAATGCAGTCAAGTCTCAGACTTCTTACAGTTCTTGCCATTGATTGTCAGTACAACAATGATAATAATGGTGGTGATAATCACTAACGTGCATTGATTCTCTATTGTTAAATTTACAGTACTACAGTACCGTAGAGGAGACAGAAAAGAAATGTAAAAAAGGCAAAATGGTTGTCTGAGAAGGCCTTACAAGTAGCTGAGAAAAGAAGAGAAGAAAAGGCAAGGGAGAAAAGGAAAGATATACTCATTTGAATGCACAGTTCCAAAGAATAGCAAGGAGAGAAGAGAAAGCCTTTCTCAGTGATCAATGCAAAGAAATACAGGAAAACAATAGAATGGGAAAGACTAGAGATCTCTTCAAGAAAATTAGAGATACCAGGGGAACATTTCATGCAAAAGGGGTAAAATAAAAGACAGAAATGGTATGGACTGAACAGAAGCAGAAGATATTAAGAAGAGGTGACAAGAATACACAGAAGAACTGTACAAAAAAGATCCTCATGACCCAGACAACCACGACGGTGTGATGACTCACCTACAGCCACACATCCTGGAATGTGAAGTCAAGTGGGCCTTAGAAAGCATCACTACGAACAAAGCTAGTGGAGGTGATGGAATTCCAGTTGAGCTATTTCAAATCCTAAAAGATGATGCTGTGAAACTGTTACACTCAATATACCAGCAAATTTGGAAAACTCAGCATGGCTACAGGACTGGAAAAGGTCAGTTTTCATTCCAATCCCAAAGAAAGGCAATGCCAAAGAATGTTTGAAGTACTACACAATTGCACACATCTCACATGCTAGCCAAGTAATGCTCAAAATTCTTCAAGCCAGACTTCAACGGTATGTGAACCATGAACTTCAATATGTCCAAGCCGGATTTAAAAAAGCAGAGAAACCACAGATCAAATTGACAACATCCGTTGGATCACTGAAAAAGCAAGAGAGTTCCAGAAAAACACCTACTTCTGCTTTATTGACTATGTGAAAGCCTTTGACTGTGTGGATCACAACAAACTGAAAAATTCTTAAAGAGATGGGAATACCAGACCACCTTCCTGCCTCCTTAAGAAATCTGTATGCAGGTCAAGAAGCAATCATTAGAACTGGATATGGGACAACAGACTGATTCCAACTTGGGAAAGCAGTACGTTAATGTATACTGTCACCCTGTTTATTTAACTTGTATGCAGAGTACATCATGCGATATGCCGGGCTTGATGAAGCACAAGTTGGAATCAAGATTGCTGGAAGGTATATCAATAACCTCAGATATGCAAATGACACCACCCTTATGGCAGAAAGCGAAGAACTAAAGAGCCTCTTGATGAAACTGAAAGAAGGGAGTGAAAAAGTTGGCTTAAAACTCAATATTCATAAAACTAAGATAATGGGATTGAGTCCCATCACTTCCTGGCAAATAGGTGGGGAAACAATGGAAACAGTGAGAGATTTTATTTTCAGGGGCTCTAAAATCACTGCAGATGGTGACTGCAGCCATGAAATTAACACTCTGGCTCCTTGGAAGAGAAGCTATGACCAACCTAGACAGCATATTAAAAAGCAGAGACGTTACTTTGCCAACAAAGGTCTATCCAGTCAAACCTGTGGTTTTCCAGTAGTCATGTATGGATGTGAGAGTTGGGACTATAAAGAAAGCTGAGTGCTGAAGAGTTGATGCTTTTGAACTGTGGTGTTGGAGAAGACTCTTGATAATCCCTTGGACTGCAAGTAGTCAAAAGAATGAATCCTAAAGGAAATCAGTCCTGAATATTCACTGGAAGGACTGATGCTGGGAAAGACTGAAGACAAGTGGAAGACAGAGGATGAGATGGTTGGGTAGAATCACCGACTCGATGGATGCATTTGAGCAAGCTCCAGGAGTTGGTGATGGACAGGGAGACCTGGCCTGCTGCAGTCCATGGGGTCTCAAAGAATCAGACATGACTTAGCGACTGAACTGAGAGGAGACAGACCCAAAACTGTGATAAATGCTATACCAGAAACTAAAAGAGCAAACAGAAAGTGAGAAAAACAAGGAGGGATGTGGTTTAGATGTAAGGAACTCAGAAAAGCTCTCTGAGGGGGTAATAATTATACTGAGATGTGAAAGTTGAGAGGATACAAGAAACATAAGAACACACAAAGGCTGAAAGACAGCAACAGTTTTTTAGGTGTTGAAAGAAAGAAAGGCCAAGCTAAAGATGAGTAGGTAAATGGCAGAGAAGTTTAAGAAGGTGTTGGAAAGGCATGGAGTGGGGGACCTTTTGGGGAGGACCTTGTATGACTAGATTTCTTCTCTAGTGAAATAGTAAGCCATGAAAAAGTATTTATTTAAATAGTATTTACATTTGAATTTTATGAAAAGCACTAGTTGCTGACTGGAGGACATGTTAAAAAATAGTGAGAACTCAGAGAGGAAATAAATCACAAGGTTGCTGCAATAAATCACAAGAGATGATATGGGTCTGGCCTGCAGTCGGAAACACTGCAAATGAAGGCACCTAAGTGGACTAGAGATATCTCAGCAAAAATGGAAAACAAACTGCTATTAAATTGCAGCTGTGCAGGTGGAGAGACAAAGAAGATGAAAGATTACTAGACTTGAGCAATTTGTGAATCCATTTACTGAAATGTGGAAGAGGATTAATGGTAGGCAATTAATACAGCAGATGCTGCTGACTTCCCATAAATATCCTTTCTCTTCCTTGTTCTTTACTAACAAAATACTAATTATATGGTGCAGCAATGAGCTCTCGCAAAAAAAGAACAAAAAAACACATCTCCTAGCCTTCCTTGTGCTCCTTGCACTTCCTTGCACTAGCATAAATTCAAAGCTGTGTGCTGTGCCATGCTAAGTCATTTCAGTCGCATTCAACTTTTTGCGACCCTGTGGACCATAGCCCGTCAGGCTCCTCTGTCCATGGGATTCTCCAGGCAAGAATACTGGAGTGGATTGCCTCGCCTTCTCCAGGGGATCTTCCCAACCCAGGGATTGAACCCGCATCTCTTACTTCTCCTTCATTGGCAGGCGAGTTCTTTACCACTAGTGCCACCTGGGAAGTCCAAATTCAAAGCTAACAAATATCATATAAATGACTTTAATGTCTATACTATATTCTAAGGTGTGTATAAGCATTAAATGAAAATGTATGTAAATAGCTTTATGCAGCCAGTCGCTGACACAGAGATCATGAATGTTATTCTTGTTGATATTATTATTATTAGGATATATTCTATACTTTTATTAATTTTCACAACTATTTCAAAGTCTTTGGATAAACTGTAGAGTGTCAGAATAAAGATAAAATAATATATTCTGTATTCAGGTCTTTTTGTTGCAGGATCTATTAAACAGTTAATAGGTAGTGTAAGCAAAGTACAAAACTAACATGCTATAGATATAGCCATGTCATTTAACTTTTCTGAGTACAGGTTTTCTTGTCTAAAGATTTAAAATATAAGTAAAAATTATTTGACATATATAATATGTCACACAGTATCATTATCAAAGGGTTTTACTCATGAATACTGTCTAGATGCACAGCTCAAAGTTCCACAATGCCTCGACTACCTCTCATTGGACTTTCCAAAAAAAAAAAAAAAAAAGGAACCCCATCTAGCAAACTCTTACAATAAGTAGATAAAGAACAGAAGTCTAAGAAAATACATGCCTTGTCTCTGAATGTGTTATACTTGCACACTGGCGTATGGAGGCTTTTATTTTCTTGAGGACAAAAATAGTCACTGTTATGCATAGAATTAAGCATAGTTCCAAGCACAGAGAAAAAAAATGCACACCTTAAGCTAGAGTTATAGAATATTTTATATTTCCG